TGAAAGATAATTCATCAAAGAGTAATGAATCGAAGTAAAGCTAATTTTAAACTGTGCAAAAGTGAGAAAACAAACCTGAAGAACGTAGCCCGTGGAGAGAAAACGCGAGGAAGATGATGAACATTAAGTGCGCGTAACTACTGTCTTGCGTTCGCGGTGTTTTAATGCAGCCATATAGAAGTCTGTTCCCCCCACATCAGACGTCTATATGGCTTTAGAAGTCAGATTGGCGGGATCTGACGTCTAAATGGAGTCAAAAACTAACTTTTTAGATTTCAAAAATGAGTATATAGAAGTCTATTCCCCCACATCAGACGTCTATATGGCTTTAGAAGTCGGATTGGTGGGATCTGACGTATAAATGGAGTCAAAAAGTGACTTTTTAGATTTCAAAAATGAGTATATAGAAGTCTGTTCCCCCACATCAGACGTCTATATGATTTTAGAAGTCGGATTGGCGGGATCTGACGCCTAAATGGAGTTAAAAAGTGACTTTTTAAATTTCAAAAATAAGTATATAGAAGTCTGTTCCCCCACATCAGACGTCTATATGACTTTAGAAGTCGGATTGGCGGGATCTGACGTCTAAATGGAGTCAAAAAGTGACTTTTTAGATTTCAAAAATGAGTATATAGAAGTCTGTTCCCTCCACATCAGACGTCTATATGATTTTAGAAGTCAGATTGGCAGGATCTGACGCCTAAATGGAGTTAAAAAGTGACTTTTTAAATTTCAAAAATAAGTATATAGAAGTCTGTTCCCCCACATCAGACGTCTATATGACTTTAGAAGTCGGATTAGCGGGATCTGACGTCTAAATGGAGTTAAAAAGTGACTTTTTAAATTTGAAAAATGAGTATATAACAGTCTGTTCCCTCACATCAGACGTTTATATGGTTGTTTTGTTTACGAAAAATGTGACTGATCATTTTTTACGTTGAATATTCGAAGGTCAGACGTATAAAGGGTGACGTTAAAGTCCTTATCTAGTGTACCTAGCATTGTAATTCTCACTGCACCAGCGCGTCACTCCATGTAGAAAAAAACAATGCACTTTAATTCACCCTACATTCCAATTAACAATTCCATTTGCACATTAAAACAATAAATAAATTATTTATAAGTTTTCTAGTTGAGAGTTAAACCCAAATTCTTCCACATTAACAAGTTCTAGTCATATAATTATTTTAATAATATAAATATTACCATAATCCACTCTTAATTTATTTTACCAATTAAAATTATTTTTTCTTGTTCTTACAATCACCTTCCACTTATGATACTTCTATCGAGGCAAGTGTTTGATCCATTTGCAAATTTCATGATTAATAGTTGGTTCACAATATCATTGAACCTCGACCGCAGTCATTTATCAAGTGTTTTGAAACTGCTAAATGTTTCTAGGATGATCTCAAGGAATGATTTCTCATTGCCAACATTCTTCATAACTTTATCACATCTTTATCTTAGAGCTTCCCTTGTCACTATGAAGCAACATGGTGAGTCTATTACCTATTATGAGACGAACTTCAGTCTGTTTGTGATAAAATTGGAGTAAAACCACGCATTTGACTCTTCCACAACTGGAGATGATTGTGCTTTAAGAAATTGGTTCTTGTTGAGGAAGAACATGATTGTGTTTGTCAATTTCTTACGGGCCTGAATAATAATGTTGTCTATGATACTCTTTCATTAATCACAAGGCTCTTGTTCATTCTTTTGAAACTCTTACTGACGCTCTTGGTTATGCTTGTACCCTTGTGATCTAATGCTGGGATTTCCGTCTTACCTCATTCTTACTGCTTATCAACGTTCTATGTGTCCTCTCTTACATGCAACTTGATTTTTGTTTCTCAGTTGCTACCATGTACCAATTGATTGTCCTATTTAATAATTCTACATGTTTCCTACAGGACATTCAAATCAGGAAAACGATTGGAGAGGGCGTTGAACGTGAACGGGTGTATGTGTTGTGCCAATTCTACAAATGTGATTCATTATTACGCTTCTTTCGCTTTGTGGCATCCACACACAGGACATCCTTCTCAATAATATTTAACTTTGTTGCCTTTTAATTTTAGTTATGATAATGTGGCTCCCTGTGATGTGTATTATAAGCCAATGGTTGTTCATATTTCCTTAAAGAAAAAGAAAAGTTTGCTTCTTTCTGATTTAATTTATTGTGAGAAAAGTTTGCTACTAGTGGTTTTTCCTTTCATGCTTATTGTGACTCCAATTAGACAAGTTATCTTTTTTACTCTAATCCTCTCGCCATGGTAGTCGTTTGGGCGGGCTCCTTCCCAATTAGGATCGGCTGGGTTTCTCCTATAGGCTCCAGCCGGTCTTCCGTGTTCGTTCTTGGGTCGAGGTCGGCCATGGCGACTTCGGAGCCGGTCGCCCTCCTCTTCCCTTGGTGAGTGTATAGCTTTAGACCGGCGGCGTAGCATTCCCGGGCCGTCTTCTGATCCGCCCGGACCGTGCATATGGTTCCCGTTTCGGAGGGGTACTTCATCGTGAGGTGCGGTGTGGACACAATCGCCCCGAATACGTTTAGACAGGGCCGCCCGAGCAGCACATTGTACGAGGTGTTAGCTTCGACCAGCAGATACCGGACTCTCTTTTCCTCGCTGGATCGCCCGGTTCCCAGTCTCGTTCTCAACTCCACATAACCACGGGTGTCAACCCTCTCCCCCGCGAAGCCTACAATTTGGTCGTTGAAAGGGACGATAAGATCTTCCGAAATATCCATCTGCTGGAAGGTTTTCCAGTAGAGGGTGTTTACTGAACTCCCCTGATATACTAAGACCTTGCTAACGCCGTAGCGGGCGATCTCGGCCGTTATCACCATTGGGTCGTCCTGGTCCGGATCGGGAGCATGGAAGTCTTCGTCCGAGAACGTGATGGGCGGCANATGAGTATATAGAAGTCTGTTCCCTCCACATCAGACGTCTATATGATTTTAGAAGTCAGATTGGCAGGATCTGACGCCTAAATGGAGTTAAAAAGTGACTTTTTAAATTTCAAAAATAAGTATATAGAAGTCTGTTCCCCCACATCAGACGTCTATATGACTTTAGAAGTCGGATTGGCGGGATCTGACGTCTAAATGGAGTCAAAAAGTGACTTTTTAGATTTCAAAAATGAGTATATAGAAGTCTGTTCCCTCCACATCAGACGTCTATATGATTTTAGAAGTCAGATTGGCAGGATCTGACGCCTAAATGGAGTTAAAAAGTGACTTTTTAAATTTCAAAAATAAGTATATAGAAGTCTGTTCCCCCACATCAGACGTCTATATGACTTTAGAAGTCGGATTGGCGGGATCTGACGTCTAAATGGAGTCAAAAAGTGACTTTTTAGATTTCAAAAATGAGTATATAGAAGTCTGTTCCCTCCACATCAGACGTCTATATGATTTTAGAAGTCAGATTGGCAGGATCTGACGCCTAAATGGAGTTAAAAAGTGACTTTTTAAATTTCAAAAATAAGTATATAGAAGTCTGTTCCCCCACATCAGACGTCTATATGACTTTAGAAGTCGGATTAGCGGGATCTGACGTCTAAATGGAGTTAAAAAGTGACTTTTTAAATTTGAAAAATGAGTATATAACAGTCTGTTCCCTCACATCAGACGTTTATATGGTTGTTTTGTTTACGAAAAATGTGACTGATCATTTTTTACGTTGAATATTCGAAGGTCAGACGTATAAAGGGTGACGTTAAAGTCCTTATCTAGTGTACCTAGCATTGTAATTCTCACTGCACCAGCGCGTCACTCCATGTAGAAAAAAACAATGCACTTTAATTCACCCTACATTCCAATTAACAATTCCATTTGCACATTAAAACAATAAATAAATTATTTATAAGTTTTCTAGTTGAGAGTTAAACCCAAATTCTTCCACATTAACAAGTTCTAGTCATATAATTATTTTAATAATATAAATATTACCATAATCCACTCTTAATTTATTTTACCAATTAAAATTATTTTTTCTTGTTCTTACAATCACCTTCCACTTATGATACTTCTATCGAGGCAAGTGTTTGATCCATTTGCAAATTTCATGATTAATAGTTGGTTCACAATATCATTGAACCTCGACCGCAGTCATTTATCAAGTGTTTTGAAACTGCTAAATGTTTCTAGGATGATCTCAAGGAATGATTTCTCATTGCCAACATTCTTCATAACTTTATCACATCTTTATCTTAGAGCTTCCCTTGTCACTATGAAGCAACATGGTGAGTCTATTACCTATTATGAGACGAACTTCAGTCTGTTTGTGATAAAATTGGAGTAAAACCACGCATTTGACTCTTCCACAACTGGAGATGATTGTGCTTTAAGAAATTGGTTCTTGTTGAGGAAGAACATGATTGTGTTTGTCAATTTCTTACGGGCCTGAATAATAATGTTGTCTATGATACTCTTTCATTAATCACAAGGCTCTTGTTCATTCTTTTGAAACTCTTACTGACGCTCTTGGTTATGCTTGTACCCTTGTGATCTAATGCTGGGATTTCCGTCTTACCTCATTCTTACTGCTTATCAACGTTCTATGTGTCCTCTCTTACATGCAACTTGATTTTTGTTTCTCAGTTGCTACCATGTACCAATTGATTGTCCTATTTAATAATTCTACATGTTTCCTACAGGACATTCAAATCAGGAAAACGATTGGAGAGGGCGTTGAACGTGAACGGGTGTATGTGTTGTGCCTATTCTACAAATGTGATTCATTATTACGCTTCTTTCGCTTTGTGGCATCCACACACAGGACATCCTTCTCAATAATATTTAACTTTGTTGCCTTTTAATTTTAGTTATGATAATGTGGCTCCCTGTGATGTGTATTATAAGCCAATGGTTGTTCATATTTCCTTAAAGAAAAAGAAAAGTTTGCTTCTTTCTGATTTAATTTATTGTGAGAAAAGTTTGCTACTAGTGGTTTTTCCTTTCATGCTTATTGTGACTCCAATTAGACAAGTTATCTTTTTTACTCTAATCCTCTCGCCATGGTAGTCGTTTGGGCGGGCTCCTTCCCAATTAGGATCGGCTGGGTTTCTCCTATAGGCTCCAGCCGGTCTTCCGTGTTCGTTCTTGGGTCGAGGTCGGCCATGGCGACTTCGGAGCCGGTCGCCCTCCTCTTCCCTTGGTGAGTGTATAGCTTTAGACCGGCGGCGTAGCATTCCCGGGCCGTCTTCTGATCCGCCCGGACCGTGCATATGGTTCCCGTTTCGGAGGGGTACTTCATCGTGAGGTGCGGTGTGGACACAATCGCCCCGAATACGTTTAGACAGGGCCGCCCGAGCAGCACATTGTACGAGGTGTTAGCTTCGACCAGCAGATACCGGACTCTCTTTTCCTCGCTGGATCGCCCGGTTCCCAGTCTCGTTCTCAACTCCACATAACCACGGGTGTCAACCCTCTCCCCCGCGAAGCCTACAATTTGGTCGTTGAAAGGGACGATAAGATCTTCCGAAATATCCATCTGCTGGAAGGTTTTCCAGTAGAGGGTGTTTACTGAACTCCCCTGATATACTAAGACCTTGCTAACGCCGTAGCGGGCGATCTCGGCCGTTATCACCATTGGGTCGTCCTGGTCCGGATCGGGAGCATGGAAGTCTTCGTCCGAGAACGTGATGGGCGGCATTGTGCGTCGTGGCTTATCAACCAAGTGCACAGATTGCAGAGCCCGTACATGGCGCTTTCGAGCAGACGACGACGATCCCCCTCCGGCAAAACCTCCGGAGATGGTGTTGATGTGTCCCCGCAAGGGACGCTCGTGACTTCGGTTGCGACTTCGGCTGGGTCGCCGCTCCGAGCGAGGTCGTTCGGCCCTACTGTTTCTTGGACCTTCCGGGCGGTAAGCCGACCGCTGAACGGGCCGCTCTGTAGGTTGTTGAGAACGCTCGTCTCGCACGTACTTTTTGAGCTTTCCCGCTCGGATTAGTTCCTCTATCTTGTCCTTAAGAGTCTCACACTCTTCGGTGGTGTGACCCATATTCTTGTGATAGGCGCAGTGTTTACTCCCGTCCGCAGCCTTCGGGGTTGAGCGCTTCGCTGTTTCGGGGATCAAATCTGCGCTTAACGCCTCTCGGAGGATCTTTTCCCTCGGGGCATTCAGGGGGGTATACTGTTGGAAGCGGGGCTCCCTTTTCTGCTCCTTATGTTTTGGGCCGGACGGCTTCCCAGCCGAACCACCGGGTTTCCCACCGTCCGCCCTTTCCCCCCTCAGCTCTTGGTTTTCCCTCTTATAAGAGAGCTTCATCTCTTCTACCCTTATCTCGTCTGCCGCACGTTCTCTCAACTCTTCCATCGTCTTGGGAGCTCGTCAGCAGACACTATCTTTAAACGGTCCCGGCTTGAGGGCCGGCAGAATGTAGTGAAGGGCGAGCTCTGGACTTAGACTCTTTACTCGCCGGACAGTCTTCTGATACCGGTCCATGAACGCTCGCATCGTTTCTTCTTTTTCCTGCTTGAGGGTAACCAATTCAAACACGGTCAGATCCTGAGTACTGTTGGCCGCGAATTGCCGGACGAACAGCTGCTTCAGTCCGGCGAAGTTTTCTATGGAATTGGGAGGCAGGGTGTTGAACCATTCCAGTGCTTCGTCCTCCAAAGAGAGCGAGAACGCTCGACACTAAATGGCGTCGTTTCCCGTTCTGAATGCCATAGCGTTCGAGAACATTTTGATGTGTGCCTCGGGATCCGTCGTTCCGTTATACATTTTGAATTGTGGTGCTACAAATTGTTCCGAAATTTGAACATCCATTATATTTTGGGTGAAGGGAAGTAATAATGTGGACGAGGGCTCTGGCTTCACCACCATCCGTCTGTCTTCGGCCGCGCTCTCCGCGTGTACCGACTTAGCTTTGCTCCCTTCAGCTTCAGACTCGGTAGGCCTCCAGGTCTTATCACACTCGATTCCATGGGGCGTACGCTCTTCCGCCATGGCTTTTCCTTTATCTTTCGTTCGTTCCTCTTCTCCGTCCTTCCTTCCAATCTCCCGAGCTATCCGGGCCTCACAATCGGCCTTTACAACTGCCAACTCGTCCTCGTGACGCTGTTGCATTTCGTCCATTTTTTGCTGTAGAACTCTGATCATCTCAATCGGGTTGTCCATGCTCATATTTCTCGTGGTCACCATTGGGTTTTTAAAATCACACGGCCCCACGGTGGGCGCCAAATGTTTCGGATGTGTAGGGCTGTGTTATCTTAAATCTCCAAGTCCTCCTATGTTTGGGCACCTGTCCCCAATCCTTTGTCCTTGATCCTTGATTTCCCTTTTGATCCAGGGGTGGGAGACCTGCAAAAGATTCTCCGATGCCAAAGTCAGTTGAGAGGAATAGCTTTCTCTAACGAATAGCAATAAATGTGCAATGAATGCAACCACCTTACCACTCAACCTGGATCTGTATTTATAGTTTTTGCTATGGGCTTGGGATTAGTGAAAAGTTAACCACGGCCCAATTCAGCCCAATAGCTTTTAATCCCTACTTACCTTAAGCCAAGTTGATTAGTGACATGGCCGGCCGTTCTCGCGGGACTTATCCTCTGGGCGGCAGCTTCAGGCGGGTCATAATTTAGGGGACATGGGCGTCCGCCCTGTCATGCTTAATCCTTCCCATCAATCAGTAGAAAGGTAGTTTCCCAGGTTTCTTGTGCTGATGTGGGCTTTGGGCGACCGGCTTCAGGCGGGTCATAATTCAGGGGACAGGGGCGTCCGCCCTGTCATGCTCAATCCTTCCCATCAATTAGTAGAAAGGTAGTTTCCCAGGTTCATTATGTTGAAATGGGCGGCCGGTCCGTTTGATGGTTCGATGACGTGGACGTCACTCCGTACGGCGTCCGGTCCCTGTTAGTACACTAACCAATTGACAAATACTATTATTGGAACAGCATCCAAAAATTAACTTGCTCACCATTTTCAATGATTAATGATGTTATCAAGAACTAACTCATACCATTCAGCAACACCAGGCAAAACCTAAGACTAAGAAAAATCTCAAAAATCTTGTTCTCATCAAACAAAGTCCTATGACTAAGAAAAATCTCAAAAACAGGAGCATGAACACTTTATTTTCATCATTGTACTTTACCGTTAGCAAAATTAAACAAATCTGACAAACCATTGATCCTAACCCTTTTTAATAAAATACCAATAAAGTGATTAATACATTAATCAATCAATCTGCAAATCAATGATATTATCAAAATATAATTTTCAAATTAAATTATAAGACATAATCTACCAATCAATATTATAAAGACATAATCTACCAATCAATATTATAAAGACATAATCTGTCAACAAAAGATATTATAAAGACACAATTTGCCAATAAGTGATATTACCATATACAATATGCCAAATAACAGTATTATCAATTAATTACCTTAATGGTCTACATCTAACTATAAATATATATATTTTGACAGCATACACCTTATTCATGGTCAGTTCATACAAAAATAGGGGCTCAACTAGTGAGTGGGCCAAGTTCTTGTCTTTTGGGCCAACATTGTTGGTAAATAGAAGGTTTCTCCCTGCACCTCCCCAATTTTTGCTTTTTTCAAAAATACCCTTAGGTTAAAATTTTGTTACTTTTAAATGTAAAACCATAATTTCTTACCCCTTTTACTCAACTCCGCAGCACACCTTACCCCACCCCCACAATCTGATTTCATTTCTTTTTCTCATTTTCTCTCTTCCCATTCCTCCTCTTTCATCTCTTCCCCTTCCATTTCTGTTTCTTCCATTGCTTCCATTTCCTTCCAATTCATTGCTTCCATTGAGTTTGGTTTGTGCTGCGGAGGAGTGTGCTTGGTAGTTTGCGGCTTCAATCAGGTTGGTTTTCACTCCTTTTTTTTATTTAAATATTTGTTTGCAAGTTAGTCGTTTGTATGTATGTATATTTAGGTTGTATTAATCTGTGTACTGGTTTGTATTTGTATGTATAATGCAAGTTAAGCTCTTTGGTAGTTTCCACGAGAAGTTCACAGAAGCAGGAAGCATGTGTGGAAGCGCACTTTTTCCACACTTTGGAAGCATGTTTAGTACAAGGTTTAGGAATGAAGATTGGGATGAAGAAAGCCCTGCCAGGGAGGGTGATGATTATGTCTCTGATGTTGCTGCCGATGATTCTGATGACAATTTGCAGACTCCATTGATCTAATGACAAGCAACAAAAACGAAATAGAAGAATGAAGCACAAATGAACGTTTGAACTTGGGGTACATATAGAGTAAATATACACATAGAATTAAATAACATTTGGTAAGTAGTAATTACTACTTAATTATTTTTTTACATTGAAGACTTAAATTGTTCACTAGAGAAAAGATTAGAGGTACATGGAAAAGAACCCTTGTAATATATTACTATCACACCAGCCAATCAAAGTAGCAAATGTTGTAACAACAATATTTAAGGCACATTGTTTTTTTTTTCAATATTCATTCTTTGTTAAAATAATATTTTTGCTGAAAACTATTCATCATATATAAGAAATATTATCAATTCAATTCATAATGTGATATGTGATTTCATTTTAATAACATTACAATAAAAAGTAAAATCATTTGGTAGAAACTTCACCTTCTAATTAATGTTTCTTCCATTAACAAAAGTTGATTAAAAATACAGATATCATCCCACTTACAAGTCAAAAAATAAATTACTTATTTCAGGTGTAGGGTTGAGGATATTTGCTAAGCACTCCTTCACACTTTTCACTAAATTAACTTAGGTTATCTTGGATACTTCTTGTTGGAAGTCTTTTCTTTTCAAAGTTCCAAATCATCCACGTGTACTTGTTAAAGATAGTCAGAGCCTCACAGTAAAATTTTAAATCTGTAATAAATGCGATCACCTACATTCTTACATTTAATCTTTATTTATAGGTTTCGATATGAGTTTGTGATTAGTGAAATTCTAATCATAGCTCAATCACGATCCATTATCTACTAAGTAGCTCTTACCATTAATCTGATTAGGATCGATGTTTAGGGATTCTCATTGTTGAGGGTCGTCCGGCCTCTCAATCTCCTATCATCATGATCGTACAGTTAATTGGTAATCGGTCTTTATTAACAATTAGTCAGATGGTGCCTAATGTATTGATCGCAACCTATTCGGATCGGTCGTCCCTTCTCGTAATCTTATCCGACCAGCTACTTAATATATCTGTATGGTCATACAGTCACTACTTTATTATGTGATTTTTGCTTGTGATTATATTGGACATTAAGTAAAAACACATATAGTAAAAATATTAAATCCACCTAGAATAAAACATTAACATTACCAAATCAGGCCCATTGTCTTGACTTGTGATGACAACATCCAAGAAAATATTCATGTTGCATAATCATACCAACTATAAAGATTTGCCAACAATTGTACATGCAAAATAGGAATATTATGTATTATAGTTTGAACATAAAGATATTTGTATGAAACCAAATCAAGTTTTTCAATATAGTTTGAATTGGTTTTATAATTTTGTTGTACAATTAATCTTTTGTTCAGGCATGTATTTAGTCTTATCTCTCTTGTCTAATGTTATATTATAATTAATATTTTTATTTTCTACTTTACTATAATTAAATATTTATTATTTTCAACATTGTTCATATCATTAAATAATTTTCTTACAGGAAAACATTTTTTCTGTCTGTTTTATAGGTAAAGAAACTAAGGTTACGTTATATTTATATACACTGTTGTATAAATAATAGATTATTGATTGAGTCTACCTTTCATAAATTTAACAAATTCTAAATTCTAGATTCTTACTAGACGCACACAAATAAATNTCCCTCCACATCAGACGTCTATATGATTTTAGAAGTCAGATTGGCAGGATCTGACGCCTAAATGGAGTTAAAAAGTGACTTTTTAAATTTCAAAAATAAGTATATAGAAGTCTGTTCCCCCACATCAGACGTCTATATGACTTTAGAAGTCGGATTGGCGGGATCTGACGTCTAAATGGAGTCAAAAAGTGACTTTTTAGATTTCAAAAATGAGTATATAGAAGTCTGTTCCCTCCACATCAGACGTCTATATGATTTTAGAAGTCAGATTGGCAGGATCTGACGCCTAAATGGAGTTAAAAAGTGACTTTTTAAATTTCAAAAATAAGTATATAGAAGTCTGTTCCCCCACATCAGACGTCTATATGACTTTAGAAGTCGGATTAGCGGGATCTGACGTCTAAATGGAGTTAAAAAGTGACTTTTTAAATTTGAAAAATGAGTATATAACAGTCTGTTCCCTCACATCAGACGTTTATATGGTTGTTTTGTTTACGA